TAAGCACATTCAGAACTAAAATAAATGTCTATCTAATCAAAATTTATCTTGCAAGCTTGAAGCATTTACTTATGGGGCCAGAGAGGTAGAAACCTTCCATTAACCAATTATGTTATCAAGGGGACAAGGCATTATAAAAGAAGCATTGACCAAATGAAGAGCTTTACAACCAAAAGATTGATAAACACAAGCTATAAACAAGGATCAAATAATTAGCAAACACATATACAAAATATCTAATGATGCCTATACACATAATGCTTCCAGATGTTGATTGGAACAGTGGGTGACTACTGGAAAAAAAGGAAAAGAATAAAAGTTGTAAAACATATTAATAATAACAACAGCAACAACAATAAACAATAGTAGAAAATGAAACTTTGCCAAAAAAAGAAAAACACCTGTGTACCACATCCATCTGCTCTTCCTTCGACAAAGCATTCAAATCTTTCTTGACCTCCTCAAATGTAGACAGGTCATCCAAAGCTTCTTCGCTCACTAAAGATAATTGTCCACCTTTTCCTTTTGCTGAAATTTCCTGCACCAGAAACATGTTTTGTAACTGAAATCTTTAAAGTTTATGTGTCCTTTCTCCAGCTAAAAATGATTTCATTGTCAAAATAAATGGATAGTAAGCAAGCCTCACCTCTAAGGTCAGTTCTCTATTATTCTCATCTTCACCAGCATCTTCAAGGCCAAAGTCTTCAATTGATAAATTTTTTGCTCTTTCTTTTTGTATTTCTTTCACCTCATCCTCCTCTTCCATGGGAGCCTCATCATCACTTGAGTGCAACTTCAAGAGTACACCAATCAACGAATTAAAAAATTACATCTCTTTCAAAAGACAATACATGAAAGCATCTTCAAAGGAAATTACGTTATTCAGAAACAACCGTCTTAGAAAATTATGTGGTGGAAAAGAATGCACTCAAGTAAACAAGATAATAAAAAAAAGTGGAAAAGAGACTCAGAATTCAAATTCTTACCTCAAAGTCGCGATTATCACCACCATAATATCTGCTCTTTATTCCACCCCATGGAGCCTTTTCTTCTTTCTCATCTTCATCATCATCTTCACCATTCATTTCATCCTCAACTCCCCCAAACTTTGCTCTCAAAAGCTTATGTTGCCGTGCAACTGCAAATCACATGCGATGAGAAATTGATAGAAATGTAACTTTAACCAAATGTAAAATACAACTACTTGTAAAAGTTGCATCAGATAATAAATAGATATATCTACATAAAATATCACCTCTAAAATCATAAGGAATAGAGAAGAAGGAGCAGAGGGGAAAATCTATGTAACTAAGCCAGTTTCTTTTCCAAAGCAGAACAAATTTCAGATGCACTTGCAAGTACATTAATGTATATATAAAGGAGCGATGGAGGGAGGTTAATTGATACTGCAGAACAATTAGGCACCATTCTTCTAAGTCATGACTGAAGGACCTAAACTGCAAAATCACACATATATTGCTATAAACTTTAAACAACTTCATTATGTTAACTCATAGTTCAATAACAAGGAAAGGAAAAACCCTCAAGTATCTCAATGTAAATAAAATGAAAAATAAGTCAGCAAATTTGACAAACGTAAACAAATCATTTTGCAGTATTCTAATTACAGTTGTTTACTGTTTATGCAAAATGGTTATTTGATAGCTATCAAATAAATGCAACAAAATACAAACCACAAAATGCAATACATTCTGAACTATCATCTTACTTTTTGCTGCGAACTTAGAAACTTGAGCATCATCAATATCATCATCATCTTCCTCCTCCTCCTCCTCCTCATGATCATCATCATCAATATCCTATACATGGAAAGACAATAGCACAACGAATAAGAATGTAATAGAAAATGAAAAATCTTCTACCAACGTTCTTGACAGTGTTGTCAATAACAGTTTTTTCAAGGTTTCCCAATTAAGCACAACTTGTCATCCTCAAGCAATCGTTTCCAATATTTATTTTTCTTTTTCTTTTTCTAAACTTATTCTTTTCCAATAATTTTCTATGTTAGCTTGTGGAAAACAGAACATTTCTCTTTCTTTTTTTTTAAAGGTTTCAATCCTAAGGTTCTTCAAATGTATAAAATGCCTTAAAATTAAGAAACTGCAGCCTCAATTTATTAACCAGACGCTGACACTGGATACCTAAAGTTAAATTTTTAGTTGAATTGGCATATTTTAACATTGAAGCTTTCAAAGTTTGATAACAAAAAGAAAATGCGAACCTGAAGATCAAAAACAGGATGTTCATCATCTTCATCTGAATCTCCAGCATCCCCATTAATATCTAATGGAACAACATCCCTCTGCTTATGAACTGCAAAACAAATTAAAGATTTTAAAAAAGAGAAAAAAAATGAGTGAAAATATAAAATAATATACGAAAAATACAGTGAAATCGAACTTACAAATATCAATTTCGTCATTGACGTCTTCAGGGTCGACGAGGCCGTCGTCTCGGTGTCTTCTCTTAGGGTTTCTACTGTCTTTCTTCGAGCTCTTTCCTCTCTTTCCCATTGCTAGGAAACTAATTTCTTGATTTCTGAGTTAAACTCAAATTTTGATTCCTTTTGAGTGATCTTTTAGTTATATTAATCGTTAACGAAGGTAACAATGATTTCAGGGTCCTATAACTGGAGGTTTTTCCTAAACCCTCGTGAAAATTGACAGAGTTCAGAGTTGTGCCTAGGGTTTATGCTCAGAGTTTGGAGAAACAGTTGGATTGGATATCATAAACAGACAAGCCCAGTTCGAACCTTGGAATTAATTAATAGCCTAAAATAGCCCAATATTCATCAGCCCAACTCCGAGATTTTCTGCCCCACAAAAAAGCCCAAAATATAATTTAAAGATTTTATTCGATTAAAAACTTTTCCGATAACCAAAACAAAATCAAATTTTAAAACTTTTTTACATTATTAACATTACTAGCTTTCGTGTCACATTTATTGAATGTGATTTGATACTTTAATGTCGTTGACATATACTAAAATCTACATTGACAGTTACAAATTTTATTATATGTATAAAAAATTATTAAAAACTAAAAAACATTATTAAATATATAAAAATTATAAATTCTTTGAGAGATAGACTAACTTTTTATTAGAAGATAGCATTAAGAATTAGTTGAATATAAAAAATAACAGGACATGATGCTTTAAAATATCTCTCAATAATTCAAAAAAACTTAAATGAATATTTTTTTATTATTTATAATTAAGTCATTTGTATTTTTATTTTAAATTAAATAAATAATTATTATTAGTTATAATATCACTTTTTTTTTTATATCACACGAAATGTAAAAATACTATATGTTTATATTATCATGTTGTAATTAACATGCTATGTTATTACCGACTATAACTTATTAATATATTATACGAGCACCATGTGCTATGATAACAAGTAACATTTGTTATAAAAGTTTATTTAATATAAAAAAAATTACATAAGTTTAATTGAATATAATGAAAAATAAAAAAATTAATTTTAAAAAAAAATTAGGGATTTTTCAAGTATTATGATAAATAACAATTTTAAGTTTAAAAATGAAAGATCTACTTGTATAATAAAATAAAGAAAAAACAACATTATTATGAAAAAAAGTAAATTTTCAAGGTAAAAAATTATAACATAAAAATCGTTAATAAATTTGTTGTTTTCAAAATTTTTAGATGACATTAACTAATAAAAAACTCTTAAAATTCTAACTTCTAAAAACGAGTACAATTATGAATAACTTAATAACTAAATTAGATTCGAACTTCCTTGACATAAATACCATTTAACTAAAAGTAATTGAATAGAATAATAATATTTATTTATTGATTGGATATATTTTATTATTTAATTTTTATAATTATTAAAAATGATTTAAAATAAAATTTAAAAATATATTGAATAAAAATGTTCATTCTCGATAACCAAAAGTTTTACCAATATTCCTATTTTACATATATTAATATTTATTGTCACGTGTGTGTGGTGAAAAACTTTAAATGTAAAATTAATTTTTAATAAATTAAAGTCAATTATTTATTTTTTAAATTCATATTTTTATATATTTTTATATTCCCATTATTTTTTCATAAATTGAATAAAATTTAATAATATTTATAATAAAATAATATTTTAATAAAAATCACTAGATGCAAATATAATTCTTATGTATTTAAAAATTAGATAAATTTTGGTCTAAAAATTAAATAAATATTATTAATATTAATAAAAATTTTCATAATTAATAAATACGACTATTTTCATTGATTAAAAAGTTTTTCAACACCATAATTTTTTATATATATAGGCAATACTAAACAAAGCGAAGGGTAATCGAAAATTGAAATAAGTGAGATAGAAATAAAAATAATATAAATTTATTTTACAGACAAAGTTTATTTGTCTCTTATTCATATTCCTAAACTGTGAGACCCAAAAAGCACCATATGTGGAGCTCCAACTGTGCAGGTTGAATAGGTAGTACTACAATATAACCTATTAATATTTGGACTATAATAAAAAAAGGGAAAGAACATTTTAAATCAGTGAAATAAATTAAATAAAACAAATCAATTAATAAACCAACATATTCACTATCAAAGTGGACCTAAGATTAAGACCCAGTTCCAAGGTTCTCAGTAATGTGACCCGACCCGAATGATTTCTTCTTATTCTTGGTCGAAAACCCAAATGACTTCACGAAACCCGATTTAAAAGGCGATTTGAGATTTGAAAAAAATGATATGCTTCCGAGTTCCGATTTCTAATAAAAATAAATAAATAATTGATAGATTGGAACCTCGAAAATGAGAACTTCATGACCCCGCTCCCTACATTCACACGTCAGCCCCCACGTCTTCAAATCCTCTACATCCGAATCTACCTAAACTTACAAATAAACACACTTCATGGACCAAAATACCCCAGAACTGCCCTCGAAACGATGCAGTTGTCATGAAGTACTATCACCCTTAGCATGAAAGGCAAAGATCTACATTAGGAATATACGCAGAGGATGTTTATCGTCCACCCTGTAACTTCGTTAACGCCATAACTTCTCTCTCTGTTGAAAAAATTTGCATTTCCTTTAAATTTTGTTAAAGAGAAGGGAAAAAAAAATTTTCTTTTCTGGTGAAGAAAGAGTCGATCTCTTTTGCCATAAACGGAAATTCATGGCGGTTAGTACTCAATAATTTTTTTTATTTCGTTATATTTTCTCTGCAACTTTCGTGCATTTTTTCTTCGTACTTTGTTTGGTCGGCAAGAAAATTTATGACAATAAGAAAAATAATTTATATTTTTTCAATTCAGTATCAACTTCAAGATCTAAGTTATTGTTGTTCTGATTGAAATATCAGTAATTCAGTTAGTAATTTTTTATGTTTTTCATTTTTTCCGTTTCATCTGAAAATGGAAGAGAACTTGTAATAATTTTTTAGGTCACATTTATCGTAAGAATCTAATCTTATCCTAGCTTACTAGCTTAGGATTCTGCAATCATTATGCATTTTATTTTATTTTTTTTAATTTCGCTACATAGTAGTATCATTTTATCTATTTCTTAGCAATATTATTTTCTCTTTTTTTTTTTTTCAAAAAAAAAAGAATTTACTTGTGTACTTGGTTGATAAAGAAGTTTGATTACAGGTTTTTTTTCCAGATTTATATGAAAATTATTCACGGATCTGGTTTATTTCATCTGTTGCATGTAATTCATTTTGAATGCTAATGGGGGATTTCTTAGTTTGATAAAAAAATGCTTAAATTAATACGTTCTTAAAAGAGAAATGCGAAATTGCCCAATTTAGCTCTCTTTTAGGGCTTTCCTAATTTTAATTAAATATTGAATGATCTGTATGTTTGTAGGCACACGGATTATTACTATATGAGATGCTGACCTTCTATGAGGTTGAAACATAATGGCAATTTGTTATTCATTTTTAAGCCTAAAAGGATACGGGGTGTTGTCTTGGTGAAATTAATGTAATAATTTGGGATAGGAGATGCCTTTAACTATTTTTTTTTATTCTTTTCTTTTGACAGGTCCGATCAGTAAAAGTGAGCAATGTTTCCTTGGGCGCATCTGAGCAAGATATTAAGGAGTTCTTTTCATTCTCTGGTGAAATTGAACATGTTGAAATGCAGAGGTTAGTTATTACCATAAGATACTTCAGTTTCACTTACTCTCTTTTTTATTTGCATGCTCTACTTTACTGCATTGAATACAAAGATAAGAGGTGAAATTTCTTGAAATTGATTCTCCTGTTCTCTGGCCTAAGTAGTTGTATTAGTATAGTGATGTTCTGAAATTTTGTAAATAATATCTAGTCTAGTTTTCTTACTGCATCCTTTTGTTTTTTTGTACTTTCAGTGGTAATGAGCGATCTCAAATTGCATATGTTACTTTCAAGGATTCGCAAGGAGCAGAGACTGCTGTTCTTCTTTCAGTGTGCACCTATCTCATTTGTTTTGAGCTTTTCTGTATTGATTAAATTAATTGCTTTCTATGATTCTCCTGCGTGCATGGCATAATTGGTGTTTGTGCTTCTGTTAGAAGGAATCATGGTCAGTCTAATAAATATGGGAATTAATGTATATAATGCATCACATAATTGGTGTTTATGCTTCTGTTAGAAGGAAACATGGTCAGTCTAATATAAATGGGAATTAATGTATATAAATCTTATGTGAAATCTCTTGTGTGATGTGCATTTGGAAGTGAATACTTTAATGCATTGCTGGTGGGATCACCATGCCAATGTCCATTTTGTTAAAAGTGTTTTATCAGTGACAGGATAACAATCATTGTCACTAAAAGATATCTGCCTCTGAGGTAAGATTTTGCTAAACATATATGTATGCATTGGACTGAGTATTTAGATTTATATCTCAAATTCACACTATGCTTCTTTTTTATGATAATTGATTGAAACTAAAACTTAATGTCAAGGAACTGATCAGATCTAGTTTCACATTTGGAATGGTGTTTAAAACCTTTGTGGCTGAGGTTTCAATTTGTATATGTTGTTCTGATTTCTGAACAGCACCTTACATTTCAAAAATTAATATTCATGTTGGCTATTCGGCATCATATGGTAAAACAGCAGTTATTCTACTATTGCTTGCATTGTTCCTCATTTATGCAATTGTGTGTGTTTTCTGTTACTGTCGTGGTTTCAAGATGTATTTATTTTTGTTTCTTGGTTAGATCTCATATTCTGTTGTAGTAAGATCAATTTGACTTTTGGTTTCTAAATTTGCCTTCTTATCGACTTTTAACCGTATAAGGGAGAAGTAAAGAGGGAAAAGGAAAGAAGCAAGGGGGTATCCTGATGGCAATGTTATTGTTAATTGGTAGTTCTACAAAGTTTGGTTAGCTTTTTGGAAAAGAGCAGTTTCCCCTCAAGGCTAATGTTGATTTTTTGGTTGGTAGTTTTAATTTCATTCTTATGAATTCAGATTACATGGTTTTTTTCAGGGAGCAACAATTGTTGATCAGTCTGTTACCATTGATCTGGCTCCTGATTACAAGCCACCTGCTACTGCCTCTGCACCACCTGTAATGTCAACCTATGGCTATCTGCTGTGATTGTCACTTACTAAATTATGATTCCTAATATGAATCAATTGTTCAATCACCTCAGGCAACAGAGAACAAAAGTGCTGTTCAGGCTGAATCTGCTGTCCAGAAGGCAGAGGATGTTGTAAGCAGCATGCTAGCCAGGGGATTCATTCTCGGCAAAGATGCAGTGAACAAAGCAAAGGCCTTTGATGAGAAGCATCAGTTCACATCAACCGCCACTGCCAAAGTTGCTTCTCTGGACCAGAAGATTGGTTTAACTGAGAAAATTAGTGCTGGCACAACCATGGTGAATGATAAAGTGAGGGAAATGGACCAGAAGTTTCAGGTTTCTGAGAAGACCAAGTCTGCATTTGCAGCTGCTGAGCAAACAGTCAGCAGCGCTGGATCTGCCATCATGAAGAATCGTTATGTTTTGACTGGAGCCTCATGGGTAACTGGTGCATTCAACAGGGTTGCTAAGGCAGCAGGCGATGTGGGGCAGAAGACAAGAGAGAAAGTTATAGCTGAGGAGGAACAAGCTCACAAATCGGAGGGCTATGCTCAGATTAACGAGTCTGAACCTCCTAAAGCTGCCACTAGTGAGCAACCTTCCAAGCCCTCATCTGCACAAGGTTTAATCCTCTGAATTGCAAAAGAGTGTAAATACCAGCATGGAAAGTATGGATCATCTTGTCATCTGAGTTATGCTTTCTAGCATGGACATAGCTAAATGTAGGATACTTTGTCACATATTGTTTGATATGTTTTGCTAAACACGACTTAAGAAAATAATAGATGCCAGTCCAACCTTTCTGCATCTATTGATCTCATCAATTGTTCGCGGCCGCTACTTTTCATGTTTTCTAATGTCAAATTATCTATGAACAACACTTTCAAATATCTGGTTGCTTGTTTGGCTCTGGATAGCTTGCTCACAACCCGAAGTCTCCTTTAAAATTAAAATAATAATAATAATAAAGGCAATATTTTAATAAATAGAAATTATTAATTTTTTTATATTTTTATTATTCAATCAAATTTTTATATTTTTACTTTGAATAGTTTAAGATTTTTTCCAAATATTATGTTAATAATAAAAGGATTTTAACATTTCTTACCTTGCATGAATCTGTATGGGTGTTTTTTTAACGTGTCATGTCCTCCATGCCTTTATTTTGAACAGAACAAAAGGATGAAAATTAATAGAAGGGTCGAGCCAGGCCAAAGGGTATGGAGAAAATGACCTAAATTTTATTATTGTCACTGTCACAATTATTTGGTGTGTCTCACATGGTCACTAGTGAAGAGCCTAAAATTGAATCCTTCCACCTGACACTAACTGTACTGGGAGATACAATAAGATATATATTAGTCACATGATTCACAACGCAATCAACACACCAATCAGATGCTTTAAAAACTTGACCTTCCTCTAAATCACTTCACCGAGCAACTTCCTTTCAGCTCTCCCACACTTTCCAGGAAAATTTAGGTAAATCAGTTGAGGACCATTGATCGATCATACGGTGGGCAGGTGGCCTTGATGGGTTCTCAAAGATCAATATGGGGCGTTGACTTGGAAATGTTGCTGGTGTTTGGGGTGGTGCTTTTGGCTCTGGTACGAGAGAGCGTGCAGTTGAGCAGAAGCCACCCAATGCGTGGAGTTGTGGATAAAGTGAATGACGGAGGGGGCCCCTATGTTGGACTTTGGCATGGCTTATCCTACTGAAGAAATGGCTCTCCAAGATTCTGGCTTCTTTCTTCCAAATTCAGACATCCCTTCCATTCAATTGGCAGGTCTCTCTCTCACATTACAAACACGTGATTGATCAGTTTTCCCAACTACCCTTTATTTCCTTTTTGGGTACACAAATACCCTTTGATATTTGCATGAATTAGTGGACCAACAGTAAGTTAAAATTAATCCTAGCTAGGCTTTTTGGTCCAATAGTGCACATTTACTGCCACCGATCACAACGATTTGAATCAATGTATGGTAATTGGAATGTTTTGAACTCGAGACCATTAGATTAAATTTAATTCCTTTTTGAGATAAAATTAGTTAAACTTAGCACTGATGTCATGTTAATATTTGGTCAAAACCCAAAAATATATTTTCTAAATTATTCATCCCAGCAACATGCTGGGATCCATATTGATTCTTGAACCAGGTGAAATGGACATGAAATATAGTGTTAGAGCCAAACTCTAGGCCGGTTATAGATTTCATTTGCAGGGGTTGAATCAGGGGAACAAAAACATTGTGGAATTGGAATATCATCTCTAACACCACTTTGATATTCCTTAAATTCTCGATGATTTGACATGGCTTCTTGCCTTGTTGGTCACTGCTCACTCAGGACGAAGATTCAACATTGGCAGTATTAATGGTGTGGACGTTATTTATGTGATGACTGGGGAGCAAACCGTAAGGTTTCTACTTGTTTCTTTCAATTTTTCCTCCCTAATCTCCTGGAATTCAATAAGGTCATGAATTTTTTGTGGTAATATTTTTAGGCAAATGCGGCTTTGACTGTGCAAGCCCTTCTTGATGCCTTTGATATTCAAGGCATTGTTCATTATGGCACAGCCGGGAGTACTAATGACTCATTGTCCTTTGGCGATGTTAGTGTGATGAACAATGTAGCATTCACCAGTTCTTGGAAGTGGAAGGTATAAGTCTGCAATCCTTTCAGCGTCATTAGCAAGCAGAAAATGTTCAACAAGTAGGAAATTTCAAGCTCCTTTGGTTTTCCCATTTTCAAGCAGAAAATGTTCATTGTTTGTCTTCCTCCGGTTATGTTGTATACAGGAATTCAAGTCAGAGAAAGGGCAGTTGCCAACACTGACATTTGGAGCCTTCAATTTTCCAGAAAAAGGAGAGAATCTGTTGGCAAAGATAGAGTTCACGCCAGTGCAACTGTACTCCACTGGAAAGTCGATGGAAGAAATGTTCTGGCTTCCAGTAGATCTAAACTGGTTCACCATTGCTGCTCAGCTTCAGGTTTCTCATCTTTTATCATTTTCCTCCAATGTTCTAATTCTGTCAGACAGTAATTAATAAATAGTCTGTTCTATTTGTGAATGAGTACAGAATTTAACATTGCAACAATGTGTAAATGACACCTGTTGCTTACCTGAAACACCCAAAGTTGTCTATGGACTGAAGGGCTCCACTGCAGATATTTTTCTTGACAATGCAGCTTACAGAAAGTATCTATTCAAACAATTTAATGTCTCAACTGTTGATGAAGAGAGCGCTGCCATTGTACTGGTTAGTGGAAAATTGCAGAAACTTTGTTTGGTTGTAGTTTCTGACAAACTAATATATTAAAATTTCTTAAACCATTTTTCTGGTGCTGGTTTGCTGCAGACATGTTTGACAAATGGAGTACCCTGCATTGTGTTCCGAGGAGTTTCGGATTTGGCTGGTGGGAATGGAACCCTTTCTTCAGCCAGCCTCAGTTCATTAGCTTCCATGAATGCTCTGACTGTAGCTGTTGAGTTTATTAGTTTAATTAACAGGGAAAGTTCAGTTGTTGATCAATGAAACTTCATTGTTGTTATTTGAGATAGGGAAATTCCAACCATTTCACTAAGCAATAAGATATAAACATTTACCATTAAAAGCTCAGATAAAGAAAACTAGTTACCTTGATCAGTCTTCTAACTAGTGTGGTTTGGCAAATGTTGGGGAGGTTACATGCATTATTAAAAGTGGTCATAATTATTAAATATATAATCATTATAATTATTAAAATTGTATTGCATTGGTAGTCTATATGTTGGGGTGTCATGTATGTATGTAACCATTTTTCAAGAGAACTTTGGCCTTAATATAAAACGGAAAAACATAAAACAAAGAATACAAGGCAGGGAAAGGAGAAAATGGCCTAATTTTATTAACAATCCCCGTCACAATTACTTCAAGAGTAATTCCTCATACCCACATGTGGTCCAGACTCGAAGTGCCAAAACATTATTGCATATTTGCATCTTAGCCCAGAGATTACATGAGTCACAAGGCATGTAATAGACCAATCAGATGCCGTAAAAAACTTTTACCTTTCCTCAGTTCACTACACAACTTTCGTTCTGCTCTCCGACTTTTCGGGAACATTCGGGTAATCAGGACCAACAGATGAGCCATCATAGGGTGGAGGACTACTGAAATGGGTCGACGAGTATGGGGGGTTGAGTTGGAAGTGTTGCTTGTGCTTGTGCTTGGGGTGTTCTTCGTAAATGTAGAGGAGAGGATGCAGGTGATTAGGAGAAGCCACCCAATGCGTAGAGTTATCGATAGAGTGAACGAAGATGGAGGGCCCTCTCTCGGACTTGTCATGGATTATCCTCACGAAGAATTGGCCCTTCGAGGTTCTGGCTTCGTTGTTCCAAACCCGGACACCCCTTGGATTGAATTGGCAGGTATTTCTATTCATTCTCCTACACTCTCTTCTCTTTCCCCTTTCCTTTGCATGGATGTGATTCAATCAATTGGCCTTTTCTGATCATTCAGGAAGAAGATTCCACATTGGGAATATCAATGGTGCGAACGTAATTTATGTGATGACTAGGGAGCAAACAGTAAGGTTTTCCACTTCCTTTGTTTTTCAAATGTTTATTAGCATTGCTCATTGTAATCTCTCGTGGTGATAATACATTTGTAGACAAATGCATCTCTGACCGTTCAAGTTCTTCTGGACCCATTTGTTTAACAAATGGAGTACCCTGGCATTGTATTCCGTGGAGTTTCGGGTTTGGCTGGAAGGAATGGACTGCTTTCTTCACCTAATTTCAGTTCATTGGCTTCTGCGAGTGCCCTGACTGTCGCTGCTGAGTTTATTCATTTAATCAACGAAGAAAGTGTAGTTCTGATAGAGGGATATGGTATTTGATCTTAATTCTTTAAATAACATGTATAAATATTTATCATTGAATTAAATACTTAAATATTTATTTTTTAAAAAAAATCAATTATTTGATAAATGAAATTACTTATCTTAATTTATCTTTTCACTTTTTATGAGTATGGTTTTAGTAAATACTCATTTAATAAAAAAATTACAATTTTTGATAAGCTATATGCATTTCTAAAAAGAATAAAATGTCATAATCTTAATTTTAATTCTCTTAGAAAAAGGATAGCATTGAGTCGTGATTCATAGACTAAACCAAATCCAATTTATTAAGGCTTTGGATGGTATAATGTCGAGTCGAGGTGATATGGATTATTTTATTAAAAAATAATTTATCTATTCGAATTTAATTTAATTAAAAATTTGATTATATTTAATTATTTTAATATTATTTTATTTAAATAATATAAAAAATTAATTAAATTTAAAAATGGAAAGATACTACTATTAAACTTAAGAGCACCAAAAATATTAACGGATAAATCGAATTTAAGTATTTTTTGGTACGATTTAATAAATTATTAAGATTTAAAGATAAAACCCATAAATATTGGATCATTCTTAGTGGGCTAACCCGGCCGGACTATTAACTTCAATTTTCGACCGCCTAAGTCCAGTGCAGAAAAAGGAGTAACAAAACCCTAGCTTCCCGTCCACCGTTTCCCATCTCGCCTTGCAAAAGAATTGCAATCACTAATTGTTAAAAAAAAATTTGCAATTCCTAAAGATCGTCATGGCGAAGAGGGACAAGGGAAAATCCGCGAAATTTGAGATGGAAGAGAACGAATCGAGACCGTTGGATTCGAAAGACGTGCTGGAGATAAGCAGCAGCGACGACGAGGAAGCCAACGAGGACTTGAGCTTGAAGATCGTCGAGAAAGCTCTATTGGTGAAAGCGGCGAAGTTGAATGAAAGAAACGATGCCGTTTCCGGTGATCGAGACGTCCTCTCTGCGGTGGATTTGACTTCTTCGTCTTCGGAAGATGGGGGAGCCGACGTGGCTGGTACCAGCGGCGTCGCTGAAGAGGCGGATCTTGATTTGAACGTTAATAAGACTGTTAAAATGAAGAAGAAGAAGACGACAAGTGAAAAGGTTAAAAAAAATTTGTTACTCTTCTTTTTGCAAATTTTCAATTAATATTGTTTTCATGGAATGCATTGCTTGAAATAATAGTTTTAGCTGAAATTGATTTGAAAATTTTTTTTTTTTTACTGCATATAGTTTTTGAGACAATGCAGGTAAAGAATTATAATATTCCAAATGGTGTGAATTTAGATTGGCGGAATTGGAATGGCCAACTATAACTTTTTTGAATTGCACGGTTAGGCATCATTATTGCTTATGTTGCTATGATATTTTGAATTCCAGTTGGTTCGCCACAGTTCTTTATTGGTAAGAAAGTTGTAGAATGAACTGTTGGATAAATTTTGTTGAATGAGCTGTTTAATAAATTCTTGGGATTTATTCTGTTCCTTTTTCTGGGTTTGCGAGGAGGCCCTTTTTCGAAGAAAACATGACTCCTCTCTCCCCCCAACCCCCAATAAAAAACAAAATTCCAGCAGGAACCGGCTTCTTTCTTTGAAAACTTTCTCATTTTCAGTTTTAATTGTTTTTATTAGAATTTCCGTGCAAGATTTTACTTATCTCACTTTTAGTTTCTGCTGGGATATTTGAGGAAAAGAATCATCTGTGTTGATTTTATAATTCCAATAATGCTACTGTGCTATGTTCAAATGGATTTACATTTGCAAAATTGGCTTGGCTTTTAAATATTGTTTGAATTAGACTATATTTGCTGTCAAACATTGCTTTTGTTACTGTGATAGTATTCATTTGAGCTGGTTGTGCATCATTCTTTGTAGTTGAATAATTAATGAATTGCCAAATGAATGGTGGGCTGGGCACAAGCTTGCAACATGTTTTATGGCTGATTTTTAATTTTGAATATCTGCACTCTCTTATGAGGCAAAATTATGGCCTTTTTATTGCTCCAGGTCAATATTACAGAGGATGGAGATAAAGCTGAGATGATAGAGAAGGCTGAGACAGTTGAGGAGGCTGAGATGGCTAAGGCTGCAGACACAATTGAATCTGTTGACCCAAATACTGTAGACATATCTGACAATATTGTGCTCCGTAAGCTTCTTGTGAGTTAAAATGCTTGCTTTGAACTGTGGTTTAGAAGAAAAATTCCCCGTCATTGCTTGGTTATTTTAGTATCTCTTTCATATTTATTCTATCAGCGGGGCCCGAGATACTTTGATCCTCCAGATAGCAGTTGGCAAACATGCTATAAATGTGGTGAAGAGGGACATATGGCAGTGAACTGTACATCTGCTTCAAAGCGAAAGAAACCATGCTTTGTTTGTGGGAGTTTGGACCATGGTGCTAGACAGTGCTCCAAGGTATGAAAGGAAAAGAGCTCTAATTTCATAAGAGGCAAATGAATCTATTACTAATTTACTACTATTCTTTTTTTCTGGAAAAAGGTTGGGCATGCTTGTTCTGTTGCTTTTGTAAATGTAGATTCTTGACGGTGAGGCAATATTAGTGAGTTGATATTATGATAATAATTTAAGTGGTTGAGAGTATGGAGTAGATCCCTCCTTGCTTTGGGCTAGGCCTTAGCTCTGAGTTGTTAGTAGATTAAAACAGTGGACTTGTCATTTACTTACCACTGATTCATGGTTTACCTAATTTTAACTTGTGAAGATTGCTTTTTTTGCAAAAAAAGTGGTCACTGCATCATTCATTTGCATGCTTATAACATTTAATTTCCCTGTAGGCACAAGATTGCTTTATTTGCAAAAAAAGTGGTCACCGCGCAAAAGATTGTCCGGACAAACACAAGAGTGGTTCTAAGAATGGTAAAATTTGTTTAAGATGTGGAGACTCTGGGCATGACATGTTTTCATGCTGGAAAGACTATTCCCATGGTGATCTCAAGGTTTCTTCATGTTCCCCAGCAGTTTCTTAAGTTCTTCTGACAGGATTCTTGTTCTCTAATATTCCTTATGTTTGTCCTCCCAAATCAGGAAATACAGTGCTATATCTGCAAAAATTTTGGCCATTTATGTTGTGTCAACTTTGTTGATAGCAGTGCAAGTGAAGTTTCTTGTTACAGATGTGGCCAACTGGGTCATACTGGTCTGGTGAGTGTTACTTAATATGCTCAATGTTTTATTAGAATTAATATGGTGAATGGGTTCCATTGGAGGAAGGGTAGGTTTACTTCCGGTGAACTTTAAATGTTCCGTTATTTTAATTTGGTGGGAATATTGTTTTATGTAGTCATGTGGTAAGTCACGTGGAGATACCAAGGAAACCACTGATAATGCATCACCTAGCTTATGTTATAAGTGTGGTGAAGGCGGACACTTTGCACGTGAATGCCCCGCTGGTACTGTGTCATCTAGCTCATGCTACAAGTGTGGAAAAGGAGGGCACTTTGCTCGCGAATGCACTGCTAAGGTATTTATGCACATGAATGGAAGTTCTCAGAATCAAGTGTTGTCCCATTGTTTATTTTTGTTTTTTAATCGCAGAATAATAGTGGTTGTTATTTCTTTGCTTGTGAACAGGTTGGTAGAAGAAATCATACATCATCTACTCCCAATGTAAGACCTCGTAAAGAAAATAAAGAGTTGTTGGGATACAATTCTGCTCCTCATGATCAAGGCAAGAGACCCAAAAGGAAGAAAATCCAGTATGAAGATAAAGGCTTCAGTACACCACGAAAAGTAAAGCAAAGAGGTGGTTGGGTTGCAGAAGATCCGGCAGATTTCTCCAATAGGAAGTCTAAAAGGAACCACTGGAATTCTCCCTCAACGCCATCTAACGAGGGACATAAGAAGTCATCATTAACTTCTGGTAGTCGTATGTCAGGTTCTCAATCCTCTAAACCAAAGAATTCGCATAGATTTTCGGCATCAAGGTTTGGCAATTTTGACAATGATGAACCCAGGAGGACGTACAATTGGCGGTAGGATTAGGAAGATATACATTCATGTTACAAAAACACATCTAATGTAATTTTTTTGAATATGGAACAAAGAAATCTTTATTAATTGTGTGGGAATTATGAACAGGATTATGGAACATGCTACTTGATAGATGAACCCCACCTATAGGAAGAAGAAACAAAAAAAACAAAAAACGAAGAAATATCCCTGTAGTTGTTAGTCATCGGCCATTAAAATCTGCTTAGAAAAATTCCAAGGAACAAAGCCATTGTCAGCCAAACCTAAGTTCTGGATCAGTCCTATGCAATCTGCCCTTCGTTCGGGGTCTCTTGCTGTCCTTAGGAAACGGTTGTACGATCAGTTCAAATTCAGCTATCGCAGGTTTCTTTCCACGACGGTCGACCTGTCACAAATTAAGCCACTCCATTAACAAAAATCTAAGAGATATATGTTATCATCCAAAGTTGATGTAAGAAAAACATGACTACCTACCTCGTCGGATCGAGCCAATCCCTCTTTAATGCAAGAGGGCAGATTTGGTAGTTGATCAACCTGTTGACCGTCTTGCTCTGAGCTTCCCTCCTCCCGAAACTTTTCATATGCTTCTACCACTTCCCATATGTCCTGTCGTAGCTTAATCACCATTGTCCCAAGACATGATGGCTGTGTGCAGTTACGTGAATCAAAGTCTGTACCAATCATAAAATTAGTTTTATTTTCCACAGATTTACAACTTGAACAAACTTATTGCACTTACCATGGAATAGACAGCCATGACTGGGGCAGCTATCACATTCAAAGAATGCCAAGTAGCAACCTCGTGTGCAGTGTGGACAGATGAAACTTTGTAGATCATTTTCTGAATAACTGAATGCTGCTTCTGAATTGCAGAGATGCCGAAGATTGTTGTAAAGCATTTCCATGTGTTTTATAAAGTACATCTTGGTAGAAGAGTGACAGGCCAACTCCGTAGATGGATGATCTGAACTCTCGTCATTTGAAGAGTCGAACAAACTAATTGCTTCTTTGCACATGAGTTCCTCATTGGAAAGGATCACCTGCTTGCTAAGACGTGCATATTCCTCCCCAGCCACTGCTCCCCATGGAAACCAGCCACCATCCGCAAAGTTCACTGCCTCACCGATACTGAAGCCTATAATAGAGGTCGCGCATCATTTTCAGATCGGGAGCAAGATATGAAATTAGAAGAAGAAGAAATAATGTAATTTTTTTACCTTGACTAAATCCAGCATGGTGTGCTCTAGGAAAGGTGATAACATAGTCTCCTGCCATCTGCACAGCCTTGAAAACAGGCACACCTTTTCGCCGCAAAATATTTGGAGGAAACATTGTTGTTTTCTCAGCCAGCAGTGCAGAAGCCCCGTCCTCTCCACCACGCACTAAGACTTCGGGAGCATAGACACGGTCCATGACTACCTTGTGAAACTCATGAGCCGCACTACAGGGGACACCATACCAACTTTTGGGTGCACCAGAGTGATGGTAGTTAATGCTGGAAACCATGAAGTGTTAAGAGATTATCATAACTACCAAGAGATGAAACTAAAAGAAAAATGAAAAAAAAAAAAAATTGAAAGTCAAGTTCACCTGTACAAGTAGTGATCTTCAACATGCCATGCGAATGTACTAAAAATCATTCCAATGTAAAGCATGGGTTCTGTTACTCCCTGAGTTATAGAAATTTAAGGTAAGATCGGTACAATATCAGTTAAACTTTTTTGTTAGAAATTGAAGACAGATTCAGCAAAATCATGGAAAATCATCCCCATACCGGTATAGAATAAGAAAGCAACCGCAAAGTGGAATAGGGCAGCTTTGGCAGAGTCTGTGATTTAAGTACCAAATAAAAAAGAAGTTGCAGAATGAGTTAAAAGGGAACAATGAATACAGACTACGGAGGGGAAAGGTAGAGACTGGGAGAAGGGTTGGAGTTGAGATAAGAACCTTCAAATTGCCCTTGCTTTGGCCAAGCTGGTCATTGGGATTAGAAGAAAAGGCACTGCCATCAATATTGACAGCATACTCGACTTTTTCATTCCCACGGCCCATTTCATGCCAGTATTCCTTTTCCATATCAGCAGGAGAGAGATTGGGAGAATGAGGAAATCTTTTAGCAAATTCCTTGTTCGCCAACTTCTCAAAACTTCTGAAGGTATGGTTGCTGAAATATATGTAACAGTTAACTTTCTTCCAGAAATTCAGAACTGAAAATGGTTATCAAAGATGGTGAAGTACTAGTACGTTGTTTATGGATTATGCAAAACTTACGTTTGTTTCATGTCGAAAGATGCCTTGTCATTCCTATTCCATTCATGGAGCCGCAGAGGTTGAATGTAACTTTTAAATTTGAAGCCTTTTATCTCCTTCGTCAATACATCAGCGGCTGGAACAGTAGCCTTCCATGGGGATACAATCTTGCAAATTCCTGAGAAATTTTTACATTGAACATGAATTCATCACACCAGGAAAACATGACATGATATGTAGAATGAACTGAAAAAAAATTTGGCCGATGGAAACTTTCATCCTAACCATATTTGGAAGCTTCTTGAGCAATGGTTTGCAGATAAGCCAAGGGATCTTGGAACTCCTCCATTGATGGACGATATACTGGGCATTCAGGTATGCTATCAACCCATTCAAGTTCCTCGTTCAAGCTGTATTTTTCCCTCATACGTACGCTCAAGTAGAAGTCTACTGGGGCAGACTTCGAACCAGTCTTGCTGCCCTTTTTAGTTCCAGAAGAACTAGTTTTTGTCGGTGTGTTCTTCCTTTTTTTAGCAGGTGCCATTTCTCTTGATTAACTTGCTAGGAATCCTTCAACTGCCCATGTAGACAAAAAGAAAATCATAAAACCAATTGAAGAACCCACCATTACATAAGAAAGAAATCGTGAGAAGGTGAATTCATTCTGAAATCTATTGCTACTCCTCTTTCTTTATTTGTTTCTTGGTAACCAAACAAACCCAAAGAGAAATTAAAACAAGAGAAAGTTGCCAAAACTAAGATTCACGTAACAGAAAAAAGAAAGTCGAAATAGAAAAAATTATAATCATCCTTGAGCATTTGGAAATAACAAGAACAAGATGCTATAAAACATGCAAGGAAAAGAGCAAAGAAACCCTGAACTTGTTAGTGGGTTAGTATATGATCCCGCATTATGCAGAAAGAAAGAAAGTCATCAATGACAGCCATTGTTGGTTATTTTCTTGTACATGAGCACCAAAACAGGAAGAAATCTATCCTTTCTTTTGTCATGCCTTTTTCTTTTCCAGTTTCTTTGGAAACAAGCAGTTTCAACCTTCAAGAAACTTCGTAACAAGAAGAGTGTAGGGGATGACAAAAACAAGCAGCAAATTGAGGCTAACTTCAGTTTCTTGGCAACCAAACAAACCCGAGAGAAAGCGAAAACAAAAGAAAATATATACAAACCAGTAAAAATGGCAGCGTGAGATAAAGGTGAGAGAGTTCTCCTGATCAAGTTTGCAAGCAACTAAACGTAGTGAAAAATCTGATAAAGGTGTCTGTTTTATCCACAAGGAAAACCGTTAACCAAGCCCGTACATGAAAGAGTATGCCACTTCAAAGACTTCCCCAAGTTGCCACGTGTACACCAGATCTTTGGAGGATACGTTGCAATCTTTCATTGGATAAAATCTGACTTTCATTTCCATGAAGAGGAAGGTTCCAAAAAAAATTTCATGTGTTTTGGACATTTTTTTTTAAATATCTATTTCACGATTTTTAAATAATTTCGTCAAATTAAATTCATATATCACTTGACTTATAATAATATCAAACTCAACTATTGGTGTATGTGTGAGTTATCTTCCTTTTTGATAAAAAAAAAAAAAGGGTTAGACCTAATTTGATTTTTTTATTTTTTTTGGTAATATAATTTTTAATTTTTTAATGATTTATTGCAATTTTTTAAATGAAAACATCACTGATCGATTGCATAACTCAAAAAAATTAAACAAAAATCGTTGATTTTTGTTCTCTTTTTCTTTGCACTCATGAATAAGTCCAAACTAATTAGTTTTAGGCTTAATTAACAAAAATTGGAGAATTGATTTTTTTCTAATAGAAAAAATTAGTTAATTGAATATATAATATATTTATATATATAGAAGGTTCTGAAATGACAATTTTTTTACGAAGTTTGCCTTGTTGGATGATTCTGATTCTCTTTTGGTTTCTCTGAAAAGAGGGGTGACGCTTGTTCTTCTTTAACAAATTAAAAGAAGGAAGGGAAATGCTATCTCCAGGATATGTCTTCGATCCTACTGATAGAGAGATAGTTTCCTACTATCTCCCTAGGCTAATTGCCAGCCGCGGCAACACGGGGTTCTTAGGCAATCTCAGGTACTTCTTCAACGTTCGCGACGTTTACTCCAGAAAGCCATCCCTTCTCTTTGAAAGCAACAACGACGGTGAGAAGAAACTGCTTCCTTACATGAAAGGCAACCAACGCTTCTTCTTCAGCCGTCGCCAGAGGACTTCTGAGATGAATGCCGATCATAAAATTTATAGAAGGACTCTTCAAGAAGAAGGCCAAGGCGAACCACAAGGACATTGGAAACGTACCAGCAGTACGCACCCTATCTTTGATGATCAGAATGACAAAAAGAAAATCTTGGGGTACGTGAATTTGCTCAGCTTTCACGAGTATCAGATCGGGGAAAAGAACAAAAAAGAAGATATAAAAACTAATTGGATCATGTATGAGTATTATCTCTGTCAAAATAGGTTTCAAGAATGGGTTATCTGTAAAATCAAAGATAAAAATCGCTCGGAGGAGGATGAATGCGAACCCAGTTTGCTCCGTCGGTTATTTTCCTCCAAGGAAAGAGCAGTGGCAGATGGATCCCAACCGGTACCTTGTCAATCAAGTAATTTGGTGAAAGCGCCACGAGATTTTGATCTGAATGAGCTGCCACCTGATTCACCCAGTCCATAGCTGATCAGATTTTTTGATTAAAGGATTCACAGAATTGGTTCGTCTTGATGAAGAACTTAGCTCTCAATATTTTTTTTTTCAAAAAAAAAATATTTACATTCATTTTTCTATTTTTAATAAATAGTAGATACATTTTCATGTTTACCCCCAAAGATACTCCTATGGTTGCAGAATAAAACTTTTTTTCTTTACTTGATTTTTTTTTTTGAAATTCTTTCTTTAGTTGATATTAATTATTTTGTTAATTATTTTATATTATATTATATTAAAAATTATAATATTTTAATAAAATTAATTATAATGAAATTTGCATAGAATCAGCATCAACCCTCCCACGGGAACAAGAAAATAGTGAATGAGTTGAAATGTTTACAATATAAGAACCCTTGCAAGGCCACAAATTAGAAGCATTAGAGGTTGCCAAGGCCAGGCAAATTCATAATCCAAATACCTAAAACAGTATTCAAATTCAAGAAATGATTCGCTGGTTGTCTTTATGCTCATTGTGTGAGGGGATACGGCAGGACCTTTTTGCCATCATCACAAAATTGTAATGAAAATTTGAAGCATCTAAAATAGTATCTGGCTCAGACAAGAGCATAGAGTGGGTCTTTCACATTGGTTAATGGACAAGAAGGTTGATGAAAATGCCTATAGCCTTGTAAGGAGAAATGCTTCTCAAAGCTCTACCATTGGAGGTTCTCTGGTAAAGATTCAATTGAACTGAGAAACCATTACAATAGCTTCAGTCCGCCGGTTACATCATCCACCATTTCAATAGGTCCTACAAGAACATTGCATAGAACCAAAGCATGAATATAAAAAAAAAAATAGAAATTCACAGAAAATAGACAAAAGAAGAGCCCACTTACCAAGAATAGCCATCACTGTCCTAGAATCTGAAAATGAATACAAAATAGTGAATTTCATTGTATGATAAATCAGACAAAAAGCCTTTGGAAGCAGTACTTGATGACTAGGGCCTAAAAATCGCTAACTAAAAATAACTTCAGAGTGGATGTTTGAACAAAAAGTTACACTGACGAAGCATTTAGCAGCACATGATAATTCAAATAATCATACAATTTGTTATATCTTTAAGCTCACATCTCCAACTCTCCACTTTTGAATCCTAATGCTTATAAAATATAACATGGATGGGATTGCAACAGTAAAGCTCAAGCACATTTACAGGAAACAGAGAAGAATCACAATGAGTTGGTCATTTATCCTTCCTAACATTTCTATTGGATCAATAATTGAAGGTAATAACAGTTGGTGTTTGAATGTTTAGGAAAAAATTGTTTTCGTAACACTAATTAATTATATAATAAAGGGTGAACAACCTTCAATGAAAGCGAAATAAAACAATAACCCAACTCTAATTTGGTTCTTCATCATTCTCTTTTCCCTATTCAGCGCTTTATCATCTCTTTTCAAACTCTACAATTTCTTTCCATCTCTTTTAGTTTTCTGTTTGGGAAACCCATACTTTTGAGTTTCACTTTGAGCTAAATCCTGCCAGCATGAACTAACTAGAGGTTATTAAAGAGGCAACAGAATGGAAAAGGAAGGCAAAGAGGGCAGAGTGGATAGTCCTGCACGTATAGCTTAACTTCATAAGTTCATTGCCAGATAAAGATAAAATCTTAACTTGTACAATTTATAGAAAAATAAATTAATTAGCAAAACCACGATCATGAAATGAAGAAAAAAAGAAATAAAAACTATACAACTCACTTGGTGCAATCTGAGTCCTCCCTGCATCAATGGTGATATGGGTTGGTAAGCTTAGCGATTTTGCCCTCTCCTGAAAAGTTGAAATCCTGGTTAATAGTTAATAAAACTATGTAATATAAGATAAAGCAGCAAAAAATATTGATGCACCCTGAGAGGCCAGGTAGAAGCATAAAACCAGAAAATAGTTGAAGAAGTCATTCCAGCCAGCAAAGTGTCAAGCATTTATTTAGTGCCAGGTTTGGCAATAACAGAGAGAATCATCAACCAAGTAATAAGCTTATGTAGGAGAACGATCAACAGCAAGGTTCAGAAGTAAAACATAAAATGGTTTACACACAACTTAGAGAAAGATAAATAAATGTAATGAAGAATAGAGATACGTCATTCAGAAAATGAAAATAGAATATTTGAACATCATCTGAGAGAAAAACTGACCACAAGTGTATTTGAATATTCTTCTAAAAATTAACTACAACTTTAACTGCAATTCTCATCAAATTCACAAAAAAAAACATTTTAGGAAAGAGCATTCACTACTCTCATATAAACAAGTCAATAAGGACTCCACGACAGGACCCATAAAAGCAGCCAACTTGGAAACCACCAATTTATTTCTTTCACCTGATACTCAATGAAGATGCACTTCTAAGTTTTGCACCACCATAACTTATTTCTTTCACAAGATACCATGGCATTTTCTTCTCACCATAACTTTTTCTGTTAATAGATTTATTCTACTCATCTAGCAAGCTAGATGGTGTTACGCTAGTGAGAACATCCATGATAATTAACAGAATAAGAAGCACAAGAATAGTTCTCAAACACACTGACTTGCAAAACTAGCATATCTTCCTCACTTTCGATTTTCACAACCACTTTTGGCTGAGCACACATCTCCCACCTGCATATTGACAACATTTTATCATAAAGAAGAATATAAAAGAGAGAGAGAGAGAGACACAGATATAGAATCAAAAGCACAAAAATAAGGTTTGCATTAGTATAACACCAGATCAGCGCATGGGCTCTACCTGTCCAAAGCTTTTGGTGCACGATGAAGGAGTTTTTTGTAAAGACCCAAAGTCGCATGGCTAAACATTGACAGAAAAAGGAAAAAAAAAACATGGAATTCAATAGAATGAAGAAAGTCAAGAAAATACATGCAATCAACCAAGAGTCATGTAATAGAGGTAAAGAAATCACAACATCAGATGGCACTAGATGACAGACTTTTAAACAGTACAAAAAAATTCCAACGGTAGCAAATTTACAAGAAAGTCATTATAAAAGATGAAGGAACCAACAAAGTAGTAGCATTAGTATAAAGATGGCAAAATATGAGTCTGCCAATTGGCTGCTTAGTAAAACCATATGGTAGCACAACAGGAACTTAGTAAGCAACTAGTGGCAGAGCCAAGATTTCAGGTTTGAGGGGCCAAAAATGAAAAATTTAATATTTGACGGGGTGAAATTATAAAATTTTTTAAACAATAAAGGTAAAATTTTAAAATTTAAAATAAATCAAAGAAAAAAATATAAATTTTTGAAATTTTGGAGAGGTGGGGGCCCCTACTAGCCCCCTCCCTCTGCGTCTGTAGACAACCTTACCCATTGGGTTAAACCTTGTCTTTAGGCACTTAAATTCCCAAAGCGAAAATTACAATCAACTTCTTCCAAGATGCTATGTCATGATTCAATGAGATGCATCATGTGCATTACACCTAACAGAGTGCAAATTTTTCAATAAATTATTGAGTATGGTCTGCTGTAAAAACTCCTGCTTATCACACCCCAAGCATTCCAGACTTGCACCAATTTAATTGATAGCATTCAGAGTCCTAATTTGCTGTTGGTTCACTTTTGGACAGATATGTCCTTATGTAGATTAGGAATAAGCACATCCCATCTAATCCAGCAAATTATGGGTTAGGAAAGGATCCATTAACAATCATACAATATAACAGAATACTTACTGCACTACCTAGCTTGATCTCTAAATTTATATCTCAGCAGTAAACATCTGCATCTAATGAAAATTGAAATTAGTGTTAAAGCTAGAAAACAAGGCCTCACCTGCACTGGGCAGCAATTTTCCCTTTGCCCATCTTAAGATCATTTCTTACAACCAACACCTGAAGATAATAAGATCAAGGCATAGATTTTCAATGTCTATTTTTATGTTTAATAGTTTGGACAAACACACCCAATCCAAAAGAGAAGAGAGACAGAGCTCAATACCATTTTAAAATCCTCTAGAATGTCAGCCAACTTTTCAATTTCAAAGGGTTCTTTGGTGTTCTTATTATTTGCTTTAGAAATTGTAGTATCTTTAGCTCCTCTTGATGAGAAAAACAAACAAGCAGGACGGCGCTTACCAATGCAGTAACCCAAGGCAAGGCATCCTGCCCCAACTAGAATGGTGCTCAACCATGAAAAATCCATCATGTTAAAGCACCAACAAAAATTTCCCCTCCGCACTAGAAGACCACAGCAATTATCAACTTAAAACTCCAAAAGAAATCTGCAAAATGCATAGTCAGATTTCAGAAATCCACCTCAAGCAGAAAAATTGGATTACAATAGAATTACCATATAGTTACAGATAAATGAAAATAAAAATCAATAGCTACTGATAATGTTATTATTATTAATAGTAACAATAAACGAAAGTGCTGAAGCAGGGCTTAATTTGGCTCCATTTGGTTGTTGCTTTTATTACCTGATTTTTGGCTTTCCTAAATCGTTACTAAAATGTAAATGCAAATGGTTAAAGACATAATAATAATTAATTAAAAATGAACAAACAATTAAAGCTTTAACACTGATTCTAAAATAATTATTCTATGTAAAAGCAGACTCATACATTCTGTTCTCCAAGAAGAATTGCATTTTTAATTTTAAAAATGTATATAAACAATTTAGTTTTTGTATTGAAACACATTCTTTTCTTTTTGCTTCCAAAAGGGAAAAAAAGTAGCAAAAGCAACAACCAAAAATACCTGAATGAATTCAATCAAATAACAGAAATTCTAAACTCTGAAGCTAATGCCGCATATCAACTTAGGTTGCTTCATTCAGTTTCTGGCATCAAAACCAAATGTAAGATCCATTCAACTTTGTCAAATGTGCATTGGTCCAATTAAATTAAACACTCAGGCTGCTATTGTTCATCCGATCAGATTGATATCCACAGAAGATTCAGACCATTATAAGACTATGCTCCTAATATCCATTAAACTAAAGAACTTTCAAGTTTCAACTTTATCCTGGTCATCCATTAATGAAACTTTTGAACAAACACCAACAATCAACAAACAAACATTTCTATTTAATGTCAACTTATTCAACTTAACTTCATAACAACTAAAAACAAGAAGAAGCAAACATTCTCCCCCAAAAAAATTATCAAATACCTATCTTCAACAGAGAAAAAAACTAAAAAGAAACACAATCTAAGACATTGGTAATTCTAATTGCAAAGAAAAATACAAAGGAACACCAACAAAGCAGTAGAGGAATTATACCTACTAGAAACTTGGGTTACAATTGGATCGTGGGTTTATTGACTTTGGCTCGATGGGAAAGTGGGTTTAAAACAGAGTTGCTGGGGTTTTGTGTTTGGGTTCAAAGCATTGGGCGAAAAAAGGGTGCGACGAATGGAAAAATGGGGTAAAAGAGAGAATGGGAGGTTGGGCAATGAATATAATAATAGCGGCAAGGAAAGCAGAGAGAAGTAAGCAGAGCAAGAAGAGTGGGGGATCTTCGGTCGAGAGAAATCATTCTCTCTTCCCTTCTGAAATTTGAAGAAACTATATGATAAAAATGTTTCTTCTTTTAGGAAAAAAAAATGAACTAGTGAGAAACTTTGACTGACTAGTGTTTGTAAAAATAGCAGTAAATAAAATATAAAATCTTAAATTTGAAATAAAATTAGAGAAAAGCCCCCTTCTTTTTTTTTTTTTGGTGAGAATTAAGGTTAAAAGTGCAGAAATTTATTTACTTTATCTTTTAATTAAATTTCATAAAAAAATGTTAAGTGTTTTTATTATAAAAATATATATAAATTGGATGGGGCAGGTTTAGGCTTGAAAATTATAGAGCCCAAGCTTAGCTTGTTTGGGTCAGGCTCGGCCTTAGGTAGGCTGCCCAGCCCATCTATCACACGAATTTTAGGGACTGTAAATTGAATTATAATAACTCCATTTGGTTATCTGTTTTCTATTTATTTTTTTTACTTTCTCAATATTTTAATTTTAAAATAAATGTATACATTTTGTTATTAAATGATTGATTTACAGTTTTAAATTATATGACAAACATTGTTTCCATATATGTATCTAAAAGCCCTATTTACTTCTCGGCTTTTCAAAATAATAAGAAAAAAAAATAGTAAAACAACAAGCAATGGAGTTAATTAAAAGTGACAATTTAAATGAAAATGAAACCTTAAAATAAAAGAATGGCTTACATCATAAGCTTACTTGCCATCAAAGGCAACCCACCCAACAGACACGATTTGGGGAATGAATTTGTCAAACCACTCTGACATTGACAAATTAAAATCAAAATTTTTGGTTTGGGATATTCCAAGGGAAAACAAATGGGGCCTTTTCAATTTTATTTGATTGATGGGGAAAATATTGCCACACATTTTTCTCATGATAATACATGATTGTAATATCCTTGATGGATTATATACTTCACTGCTTCACATATTTAAAGAGAGTTTGAGTTCTATTTAGGTTTATAATTTATTCTTTGTTATCTTTCCTTATTAGCATATAAAATGCAATATAATCATGTTGTTATGACAAGTAAGCAAGGGTCCCTTTAGTTTTTAGATTTTTTTATAAGTATAAAATTTAAAATATATAATTTTACCATAAAACATAAATCAAATAAATTGATTTAAAATAATAGTAAGTCATTTAAGTTAAATTTTAAAGGTTAGATTCAATCTCCTACTCAAATTTAGAAATTATTTTTTCACTTTTTTACTTCTCCAAATATTTTTCTTTTCCTTTTTCTCTTTTGTTCCTTTCTCCAATCTTTTTCCAATTATTTTTCTTTTTCCTTTTTTCCCTCTCCAATTTTTTCCCAATTATTTTTCATTTTCTTTTCCTTTTTCCCTTTTTTTTTCTTTTTTTTCAAACAATTTATTCTTTCATAACCAAATAAGTATACTAAACCTTTTAACTCATACAAATTTGCCTAAAGTAAAAATTCAATGTTAATTTTTATTTTGTTTTATATCTATTTATATTAGTGTATCTAAAAACTTATATTAAATTATTAAAAAATTTTATATCATAAATTTATCTAATATGAAAATTTAATGTTAATTTTTCTTTTCACTCTATATATATTTTATATTAAATTTTATTTCAAAAGTGATTAATTTTTTATTTCGAATAGAATCATTGACTTAATCCATGACCTTATATGATTATTATTTAACTATTCTTCATATAAAATTTTGACCCACCATTGCAAATAAGCATATAGCTGATGTTATATTAACATCAAATGATATAAATGACGATTTGATTAATAATAATAATTAATTTATCCTCAATAATAAGAGTTTATTTAGCTTAAAATGAATATAAAAACTTAATAAAAGTATAAAACAAAAAATTTATTTGAATTTTTGTGAATTATTAATAAGTATTTTTAAATATTATGTCAAAAAAATTATTAAATATCAATATAATCATCACATACAAACATTTATCTATAAGTGAAATATTTACATATAAAAATAAAAACTTATAGGTAATAATTCTTAAATCCTTACTCCTTTGTTTCATTACGGGAATAATTCTTTAATAGTAATAACTAAACTTTTTAATTTGAAACTAGCTTGGCGGTGGATGCACATTTAATATTAACAGGAATTTAAGAAAAGGAAGAAAAGAGAGGAAGGTGACAATTGGTGTGGTGCCGCTTTTTACCTTTATCAACCAATGGCAACAGCCTTCGCATTTACGCAATATATTTATTTAGCAAAAAGCCCCAAAAGAAAAATCTCAAGGAAATTAAAAATAAAATATCGGCATTTGCCAACGTCCAAGAGAGAGAGACTGAAACTCCAAGGCAAGATCAAAAACTCAATTTTACTGAGTCGTTACGCGTCGCTGTCTTCTTTCCTTTTTCTATCTCAATTCAATTTCGAAGGTAGAATGATTACCTTCTCTTTTTTTTTCTTTTTTTTTATTTTTAATTGCACCAAATCTCCCTGGGTTTTTCTTCCATCATTTGCTTGATCTCATCAATTCGACTCATCAAGAATTGTAAGCAAAGAGAAAACATTTTTCTTTTTTCTCTCGGTTTTGCTTTTTTTTTTTTTTTTTTTTGTTTCCTGACTTTGAAATTGAAGTATTTTAGAGTCTAGGCTTAGCTGACCCGGCAGTTGACTTAATGAACATGATTTTTATTTCTTTGAAAATTTTTGCCTTATATTTTGTTAGTAGTTAAGCAAGCTGACTATTTTCTTCTTAAGCTTTTCTAAATTTTGATTTTTGGGGTTTTGAGGTATGAAGAAATAGGATTTTGTTTTTTTGTTTACTTTATTCATCGATTTTTGCATTGCCTTTTGTTTATTTACTGCTAAAATAGAAGGGAAGATGATATCTACTTTTCATTTATTTGAGTATTTGCTTTAAATTAGGTTTTTATTCTTGTTATCTTCTTTAATTGGCAAGTTGCTCGAATTTTGAGGGGTTTTGAAGTTATTATTTTGATTGTGAGGGTTCTTTGGAAGATTTGGAAATTAGGGTTCTTGTTTGAAAAATATCGATGCCATTGAAAATTGTTCAGATAAATTTTTAGGTTAGCATTAAGTTCTTCTGGGTATATCGTAGGGAAGATGGTGAAGAAGCAAAACCAGATATTTGAGTGTCTAAATTAGTGATGATGGGGCAGATCATAGTCATTTCTGTTGGATTATTTTAAAACATTGATGTAACTCTGAGGCTTTTGGGATTTTTTTTTCATGGAAGATGATTGGGGAGAAATTTTCATGTTAATTTCTGGCCCCTAGGATGGATGCATCAAGGCATTATTTCTTTGACTCTTCTAGGGTTTTTTTTAAAGGAATTTATTGAATATATAGTTTTGTTTTTTGAAGGTTTCGTGAAGATGGACAAAAATTTGATGGACAAAGTTAGTGCCTTTGGTGAACGCCTCAAGATTGAAGGAGCTGAGGTGGGCAGAAAAGTAAGTGCTGGCATGAGCTCAATGAGCTTTAAGATGAAGGAGCTCTTCCAAGGCCCGAACCAAGCTGATAAGCTTGTTGATGATGCAACCTCAGAGACCCTTAGTGAGCCTGATTGGGCCTTAAATCTTGAAATCTGTGACATGATCAATCACGAAAAAATTAGCAGTGTTGAATTGATCCGTGGCATAAAGCGGAGGATAATGATGAAGAGCGCTATGGTTCAATACTTGTCCTTGGTTTTGCTTGAATCTTGTGTCAAGAATTGTGAGAAGGCATTCTCAGAGGTGGCAGCTGAGAGGGTTCTCGATGAAATGGTTAAGCTAATCGATGATCCTCAGACCGTTGTTAATAATCGGAACAAAGCTTTGACGCTTATTGAAGCGTGGGGGGAGTCAACCAGCGAGCTCCGCTATTTGCCTGTTTATGAAGAAACTTACAAGGTAACAACATATACTTTTATCGGGTTTATTGCAGATGTGGAAACAAGTAGAGGAAATATGATTATTTAATTTCATTTACTTGTTTTGTTATGGTGTGTTTCTGATTGAAAGTCCTGTAACATTAGTAATAACAGTTGTGTGAAATTGATTCTTTTAGTTGCTGTTACAGTCTTCAATCTACAATTTAGCCTGCAAATCTTAATTAAATCATGGAATGGGAATTTTTTTTTTAAAATGAAGGAGCAACTGTTTAACTGTTCGTTTGGTTTAGTTGATTGAAATCATAACATTAATTTAGAAAATCCCTGAATAAGCTTTCTTCAACAACTGAATTCTTGACTAGGAACTTTTTGGGGTACGCCAATGTCTCTTGAATTATTTGTGCTTGGAGTTGCAATAAGTTTTAATATGCAGTGCAGTGTTGCTACAAAAGATAAAGCCTTTTGGCTTGTAGATTGATGGCTTTTGAGATTTCTCAAATGATCTTTTTTATGTTGTAGAGTTTAAAATCAAGGGGTATTCGCTTTCCTGGTCGTGACAATGAGAGTTTGGCACCTATTTTTACTCCTCCTCGTTCAGTTTCAGCACAAGAAGTGGATGCTAGTCTTGCGCAGCAGTTTCAACATGAAATGCAGCTTCAGCATGATATTCCTGTTCAAAGCCTTACAGCTGAACAAACAAAAGAAGCATTTGATGTGGCAAGAAACAGTATTGAGCTTCTTTCAACTGTGTTATCATCATCTCCTCAACAAGATGCTCTTGAGGTATTATTGTCTTTTTGTGCACTTCTTAGTTTCTAACTTTTTAATGACTATCAATAAAGTATGCTTCAACAAGCTCTTAATAATCTGAGTCTTGACTGAATTAGTCATGAATTTGTTTTGTCTATCCATTCATGTGTTAAAGAATGTTTAGTATTCTATGCATTTAGTGAGACTTTAATGTGCAAAAGATCAACTTGTTTGTCAATAATTTACCTTTTGCTTTATTTGCAAGGGGAAATTACTTTCTTTTTAGAGCTTTTAAATCTTTTTTATTATCCATTTATGATCTTTTATGCAACTTGGAGGCCTATAGGTGATTATTATTACATTTCACCTCAATGATGAATATTGGTGAGAATTCTGATGGCTCCAATGATGCCAAGTTTATACTTTCATGTTGAAGGGGATATCTTTGACTTATTATGCTCTGCTAGAAGGGAAATTAGAAGTGAATTCTTTGTGGTGATAAGGTGACATCAGAAAATTAGATTTAAGCATACTTGAACTTTTTGCTGATTGTTCTTTGTAAGTTAATCTAGGATTATTTCTTGAGACCTTCATCAGTGTTGAGAAACAGATGACAATTTCACAATATTGTGATGTTTTGTTTCAGTTTAGACTCATAACATTATAAATGTTCTTTCAAATGGTCATTTAGTTGTTCTTGAGGTGGCAGCAATGTTATGTGGTTCTGAATCTATGAGTTAGAGTATAGCTTGTGTAAACATTTACAATTTGAACGTGTAGGAACGTTATGCAGATTTAACCTTTTAAAATGAAGTTTGTTTTTGCATTTCTGTTATTCATATTGGTAGAATCATATGAAATGAATCCCTTGGCCAGAAGGTAACGAAGCAGGACAAAACTCTAACCTACTTAGTATGTTACTTTTTGTTTTTCTAGCAGTTTATATGGTTACTCTCCCACTCTCCTTTTTGCTAACTTTATCAAATTTGATTTGGGGCATTGTTATAAAATAAGAAAGCCAGGAGATTCTGATTGCACATAATTTTTACATCTCCATGTGGAGGAAAAGGAAATAAAATAAAATAAAAGGAGGGGAAGTATGGAGTGGAGCTTTTAGTTCCAGATTTGATCAACAAGTACTGTTTTCATACCTTTGTTAGGGCTGAATACTGGTTGATCCCAGTAATTTACATTTTCTTTTTTGGCAGGATGAGTTGACAACCACACTTGTCCAGCAGTGTCGTCAGTCCCAATCCACAGTTCTAAGAATCATTGAGACTGCTGGAGATAATGAGGCCGTGCTTTTTGAAGCTTTGAATGTGAATGATGAGATCCAAAAAGCTCTCTCAAAGTATGAAGAGTTGAAGAAGCCAACATTAGTTGCTCATGAGCCAGAACCTGCAATGATTCCTGTGGCTGTTGAGCCTGATGATTCACCCCGTCATGCAAAAGAAGATGCCTTAATCAGAAAACCAGCAGGTACTCGACACGGAACACATGGGGGAAGCAATGATGACATGATGGATGATCTTGATGAAATGATTTTTGGTAAGAAAGGTGGGGGTTCATCTGAAAGTGGGCAAGATTCAAAGAAGCAGCAAGCACCAAAAGATGATCTAATCACATTTTGAGTGCTACTTTAGGACGGAAGGCCTCGACGGGCATCATTGTAGGCATTGAACAGAAGTTTGAACTTTGACAGGACTGTGGACTTTTTTCTTTCACATACTTCCAAGTTATGTGTAAGTAATTAATGTTTGGATTTATTTACACAATTATTTGATGAGTATACATGGGAGGATTGTTATGAGCAGAATAAAGCTGTTTGGCTCTCATAATTGTGGTATGTGGACATGACATTCTAGTCCCTGGTTCTTCGTTTGCTGCATATAAGTCCTTCCAACAAGTTCCATGCATATGCTAAATATACCGGAATCAGTTTTCACCTTGACAAAGTGTAAATGAATTGATCTTACAGGCTTTAGAATGAGGGAACATTTTTTTATTTCTTGAATTTATTGTGTCTATATTCTTTGATGACATTTGTTTGTCACTTATGGATTTTTACAATTTTTCATATAAAATTAGAAATATAAATAATGGAAATTTTGTAATATTAATCTATAAATTACTTAATTTTATTAGAAGTAACAAAATTATTTTTTAATGAAGTTAATATAATGTAGATAATTTTTATTTATATCTATAATAATAAATATTTAAAATGGAAATTTAAAAATATAATGAACAAATATTTTTGTTTTCATTCATTAAAAATTTTATATATATTATATAAATAGTCTCAAAATTAAAAACCTTACTCATTTCCGTAAGTTAAGTGAAAAAGTGTTTCACTTATGTAAAGGATAAAAGTAAAATCTAATGGGTAAATTAATAAGTTTTACTTTTTAAAGATTTGCTTCTTGCGACTTCCGAGCTAGCTTGAGACTTCCCCGATCTTCTGTTTCCGGTGTGAATACCAGCTTCAGCTCTTTTTTTTTTTTCAAATATTCAACTACTCTCCTATGGGATTTTGCAGATGTGGGATTTTGCAGATGGTGCAAAGTCCTTTCAGTAACGCAAGTGGGGACTGGGAAAAGACTAGAGTGAGTGCCATCTGCATGGAAAGGCTGCACACTTGACAATGCGCATCGCCCTTGACCATTTTGTCATCCTCTTGCACTGATGTGCAACCCCTATTGGTTCTCTTTGATTACCTAATGAGGGTTTTGTGAAGGATGGCCAATCTCTCACCCCCTCATCTTAGTTTCTGGTCTTTAAGACAGAAGGAAACTGAACTCAATTTAAATTAGTCAATCATTAGTCCAGCTCCATGAAACTGAGATGGAAGGAGATGGACGGAAAGTTGGAAGAAGGTGGCTTGACAGCCTCCATTCAGTGTTTGTGGACAATTTTAGTAAAAGGTTATCATGGGCGATCATTAAAGGAGCGTTTGGGGAGTATGGAACTGTTGTAGACGTGTTTATTCCAAGAAAGATCTTGCAGGATAAGGGAAGGGTAGCGAACTTCACGTTTATTAGGTATAGAGAAAAGGATGAATTGAATGGGGAGGACATCAGTGGATGGATGGGAATCGACTCATAGTGAAGAGAGCTGAACCAGTGCTTAGGGGCAGAGATAAACATGAGGACAACGAGGTAATGGGAAGGAAAGGAGTTTTTCAACCCAATACACGAGGGGTAGACGGTAGGTCATATAAAGAGGTAGCAGCAGGTGAGGGAATGAAGTCACACAAGGAGAAAGGGATGGTCAAGCTAGAGGAAGATAAGCGAAATAAGGCAAAGATGGAGGAACTGAAAGGAGAATTGAGAATACGGCTCAAGGGAAAGAGGTAGTTGGTAATGAAATAAGAAGGCCAAACTGAAAATTCACATTCTTTTAACTTTGCACAATTATTCAAAGCATGAAACACGTGCTTAGTTTGATGAAAATTCACATTCTACAATGATGCTTAACAATAAAGTTTAACATAATACTTGAACAATATTCACACTTACTAAAATCATAGGATAACAAGATAATTAATTTTCTTCATTATATAAGTAAATCAAAATGAATGGTGCAATTAATCAGAGTCAACATTCTCAAAAATTTTGTTGAAATTTTAAACAAAAGTAGACTAAAATAACTTTAAAACATGACATTTAACAAAAAACAAACAAAACCTAAAATTTTAAATTCTCCTCCAAACTTAAACATAACATTCTCCTTAATGTTAAAAAGTAAAGAAGAAAAGTTAAGAATATTCCCTTGGTTAATGGAGATCCTCTAATCTTCTTCTTTATCCTCATTATATCCAAAGTTGTTGGGAGAATCTATTAAAGTGACAAGCTGTAAATAAGAAAAAAAATAAAAAACAAATTAATGGAAAAATCTAACTAAATAAAAAGATAACTTCAAAGAAATAGAGTTTTGAAAGCTTGGGTTGCCTCCCAAGAAGTGCTTCTTGATAGTCATTAGCTCGACCGTGGCACCCCATGTTACATTTCTTCATCCATAACATACAGCTTGAGGCTTTAATGGCCTCACTCTCTATCTCTGTTATCCCACATGGATAGATCTTGATCACTTTAAAAGGACCTAACCATCTTACCTAACGTTTTCATGAAAAAAGTTTGAAGCTTGAATTATTGAGTGACACTTGCTGTCTAACATGAAAATCAAGACAACTGAGAGTTGGTGGACGATGCTCCTCAAGTGACTGCTCGATTTTGATTTGTGGAGGTGGTAGCTTTAACCCAAAGGTTGGTACTTGATCACTTATAGCTAGAGAAATGGGCTTACCCTTACCCTCATCAATCACATCCATTTTAAAGCAACTAACTGAAGAGGTGGGATGCTTAATTGCATTGAAAATATTGAACTCTACTACCTCCTTTTCAACTTAAAAAGTTATCTTGCTTTTCTTCACATCAATGAGTGTGCTTGTAATTGCCAAGAAAGGTCATCCCAAGATTAGAGAAATTTCTACATCCTCTTTTATTTCAAGCACAAGTAAGTTAACCGGGATGTAGAGATGTCCCTCTTTAACCAACACATCTTTTATGATCCCAACAGGATGAAAAATTGTCCTATCTGCTAATTGGAAGGTAACTGTAATCGGTTGAATCTCCTTAAGTCTAAGTTTCTTAGCAACAAATGAAGGCATCAGTGGCACATTAGCACCCAGATCACACAAAGCTTTAGAAAATTTAGAACCACCAATAGCACAAAGTATAGAAAAACTCCTTGGATCCTTTAGCTTAGGTGGGAACTTGTTCTGAATAATAGCATTGCACTTTTCAATGAGTGTAATTGTCTCATACTTGCCCAGCTTTTTTTTCTTTGTCAAAATATCCTTTAAAAACTTAATATATGAAGACATCTGCTCGAAAGTTTTAACAAAAGGGATGTTGATGTGGAGTGTCTTGAATACTTTTAGAAATTTCTAAAATTGAGCATCCAACTTTTATTTTTGAAAGCATTGAGGAAATGAAAGAGAAAGGTGAATTATTGGTGCATCCTTGACTTGCATTTGGATGTTTGACTTTCCAACTTTCGATTCATTCTCAACTAGCTTTTCTTGTGACTTTTCTTGCTTACAATTGCTGTCAACCTTTTTCCCACTCTGAATATTGCTATACAAGGTTCCTTGCCTTCCCTTCTTGGATTTGGCTCAGTATTACTTGGTAGGATTCTTTAAGGCCTATTATTGGTAGCATTGGCTAGCTGCCCCACTTGAGTCTCAAGATTTTTCAATAAAGCTGCCTGACTAGGAATAAGAGCATTTGTCTTAGCCATGTATTGCATGAGCAGCTCCTCCATGGATGGCTTCTTTTCTTGCACTGGGGGTTTAGGTAGCTATGGAAAATCCAAAGAAAAATGTGGTCGTGGAGCTGATGAAGAACTTTGATTATTGTTTTAATAGAAATTGGGATGATTCCTCTACCTTGAATTATATGTGTTGAAGTATAGGTTGTTTTGTTGCCTATTCCCCATAAATTGCATTGACTTCATACTCAAATGACATTGATGGCTTGAATGCCCCTCACCACAATAATCACAAGAAATAAAAAGACTCTGTATTGAATAGCTAAGTTATTCTAATAAAAAGACCCTAAACAAAACTTGAATTAAGATTAGCTTGTTTGGTATTAATATTAGCAAAAGAATAGAAAAACAACTCCCCGACGACAACGATGCAAAAAACTTGTTACTTGTTAATTTATCAAGACAACTTGCTTTAGAACTTTTATTAAATTGGTAAAATATTATGCAAGTGCACATAGTAAACAAGTAATATAATAGTGAGTGAGTTATCGTCTTCACAGAAAATTATATCTAAATTCTTACTAATTATTAAAATTAGGTAATTTAATCTTATCTAAAAAAATCTAGTTTAAAATTAATTGAGAATGAAAATTAAAATAGCAAAGCTAAACTAGTGCACTAAGCTAAAGAAAAACCTAAAAAATTAAATTGAAAAACAATGGAGAAGTACTTAAGGTTATGGAAGTGCGTGTTTATCCCAACTACTCCTCAACAATGGAATAAAAAAAAAAAAAGTTTAGGCGGTCTGAGCGCTTCGCACGGACATTTTCTTTTCCATTTGCGCGGATGTGCACTCCGTATTCATGGCTTAGACTAACTGTCTAGGCCCAGATTGATCCACTTTGGGCTAAGTTCAGACTTTAGATTTTTAAAAATCATATAATAAAGCAACTTAAGTCCATAACTATACATGTCAGAGGACTGGACCGAGTCCGGCTTAACTTTTCTAAACATCTGCCTAGTTAGACCCAATACAAACAAGACCTGACCCGGCTCATGTAGAGCCCCTAGCCGAGTAGCCGTGTGCAGCAGATCTCATTATAGCACTCTCCAGTTACCGGCTCTGCTCAATCATCACTCTCACTCCTCTGGATAACGGAAGCCTGACAGTCGAAAAATGCGAGCGAAGCAAATCCCATCATCCTGGACAAGATCCAAATCCCAAATCCTCCTCCTCTTCTCCACAGTTTCCCTCCTAGCTCTTTCTTTCTTCTTGTTCCTCTCTTCTCCCTCCGACCTGACCCGTTCCTCCACCCACTCTTTCCCGCACCCGCCCATCCGACCCGAAACCTCCTTCGTCGCTTCCCTCGAATACTTCCTTACTCACAAAGCTCCCAGTCACCAACGCCGTGCTTCCGACGACACGGTGGGTACGGTGCTCGAAGATGACGTCAGGAAACTCGACGAGAGGAAGTTCGCCAAGGAAATGGAGTGGGTGCACGGTGATCCATATTACCCGATGAACATGCCGGTCAGGGTTTACGTGTACGAAATGCCGGCGAAGTTCACCTACGATTTGCTTTGGTTGTTTCGGAATACTTACCGAGAGACTTCTAATCTCACCTCCAACGGCAGCCCCGTCCACCGTTTGATCGAACAGGTGAATTTATCAGTTAAAATGACTTGTCGGTTTAATATAAAAATAATTTTTCGGCCTTTTAAATACATCGATGAAATTTGTTGAAGATTTTCGATTTGATTAGTAGGGTTTGTTTGGCTTCCTAGAAAATTTGCAGGAAAGTGAAAGAAAGTGTGAGAAAAATGAAAAAGATAGATATCCTCTTTTATCGGAAATTTAGTAAATTGTTAAAGTTTACTTGAATTTGTTTTGGTGATGCAGCATTCTATTGATTATTGGCTTTGGGCGGATTTGATTGCACCGGATTCAGAAAGGCTTTTGAAAAATGTAGTGAGAGTTGATAGGCAGGAGGATGCTGATTTATTCTATGTGCCATTCTTCACTACGATTAGCTTTTTCTTGTTGGAGAAGCAACAATGCAAGGCTTTATATAGGGTGTGAGTGCGTTTCCAGGTTTTATAATATTTTTGTGTACATTTTCCTGTTTCTATGTTTCCAATTATTAAATGTGTTTGAATCTACTCCTATTCTGTTGCTTGTCTGATGTTATGCCATGTTTGTTGGATTGTTCGGGTCTATCAGTGTCATAACTTAGGTAAATGTATTTATGGAGCCTTTGATTCCTCTAAGGGAGATGGAGGACAAGTAAAGAAAATCATAACTGGGTCAAGTCCTAGGCATTTGACGGAGTACTAGATTGAGTGTGCTGCATTTTATAGTTTTATTTTGTTTGAGTGAAACTAAATTTTGTGCTGTCGCTAAGCTGAACTTTCAAAATCAAATCTGCATTAACTTGTTTACTGAGGCATCCTATCAGAGTTTTGGCTTGTGTCTCATGAGTTATGTTAGTATCCTTTTTTTTAAATCCATTTTTTTCCAATTGGAAAGGTTTTGGGATACATATGTTCGACAAAAATAGTGTTATGGAAAGAGTTCTGTAATGTTTTATATGGATGGATGTGCTATTAAGTTTTTGTCCAATTGGAATTAGAATTTGCTTATTCTAGGGTCTTGTTTCCTTTGGTTGCAGGAAGCCTTGAAATGGGTGACAGATCAGCCTGCATGGAAACGATCTGAAGGAAGGGATCACATATTTCCCATTCATCATCCGTGGTCCTTTAAGTCGGTTCGCAGATTTGTGAAAAATGCAATTTGGCTTTTACCTGACGTGGACTCAACAGGGAATTGGTAACTATATGACTTTTGCAGATAAGATGGAACTTGTAAGTTTACTAGTCATTTCAGCTTCCAGAAAGTGATATATTTTAACATGCTAGGTACAAGCCAGGGCAAGTTTCACTGGAGAAGGACCTCATTCTCCCTTATGTTCCAAATGTTGATTTATGTGATACAAAATGCTTATCAGAAAGTGAATCAAAGAGGACAGCACTGCTTTTCTTCCGTGGACGACTTAAAAGAAATGCTGTAAGAGTTTCAATTGTCTTATTAGAGTCTTTGATTTTTTGTACTTGCATTAAATTTAGTAGAGCATGAAAGAAAGGAGGATATTGTTTTGGGCATATCTGAGTGTGCATATGCACGAGATCTAGTCGAGAGACATGCCAATTTACCCTTTTCAAATGCTAGCATGGTAGAACAAGAAAGAAATGGTGGAGGGGAGGGGAAGGACGAGGGGACTGTCTTAAGAAGATTAATGGATTTTTGATCTCTAATCCATAGACATGGCAATTTATCCGTTTTAAACAGAAAAAGGTGAAACAAGAAAGATGCCTTTTTGGTGTTTTTCTGTGTGTGTGCGTTTGCCTGTGCAAGCGTGCTCAAGAATGAGACAGAGGTATTGAAGAGTATTAAAAGAATTAGTGATATTGAGAGTACAATAATCTGAAAATCCTTTTTATTCTTTTATGTTCTCTTTGGGATCATATAAGTTCTTTGGAAAGCTATTTGACAAAAGTTTTTAGAGATTCGATGGTTTGAGTCATCATATTTTTTATTTTTCCCCTGTTCACCCATTTTTTATTATGGTTGAACAGGGAGTAGCATTACCTGTTTCTTTGCAACATTTTCTCTCCTATGTCTAACTTGCTTATATAATGTCTTCTGTTTGATCTTTTGGCTACTTATTTAGTAGTTTTTCTTTTTCAGGGAGGAAAGATACGTGCTAAACTTGTGGCAGAATTAACAGATGCCAAGGATGTAGTCATAGAGGAGGGAACTGCTGGGGAGGGAGGGAAAGCTGCTGCTCAGAAGGGGATGCGCAGGTAAGATAAGCCGATTCTCTTTCACAATGTTTTACATCCTCCTTTGTCATAATGGTTGTAATTGTTTCTTCTGTCATCAGGTCTATATTTTGTTTAAGTCCAGCTGGTGACACTCCTTCCTCTGCTAGATTGTTTGATGCTATTGTCAGTGGGTGTATCCCAGTTATTATTAGTGATGAATTGGAGCTTCCTTTTGAAGGAATACTTGATTATAGGAAGGTATGTATGCCCTTTTAAGAGCTTGAGTTGTTACTTACTCTCCCTTGATGCATCTTGGCTACCTTGAGGTTACTTTTTACATTTTGTTTAATGACTGCCTAAAAGTTGCTTATTATATGATTATGAGAGTATTATTAAAATAGGCATGTAGGTTGAAACAATATTGCGGTCATTGTGATCAATTAATAACCAGAGTCAGTTGGAAATCTGCCTTCTGAATTATATGTCAAGTGAATGAAATTCTGTGCCTCCTTGATTTCATGTTGCATGAAGTGAATGATTATGATTACTTTATTATCAGTGGGCAGTACATATGTAGATCATCATTCAAAGCATTGAGAACCAGATTTACGCATAAATTTGCTGGTTTTTTTATTATCATATCTATACTCTGATTTATGCATATTGACTATAGGATAAACCACTTCATCATGCCACAATTCAGTTCTCTGTGCTACATGTACAACTTGAAATGGGTAAGCTAATTTTGTTGGTGGGTAGTATGGTATGGGTAAGATATATTATGAATATGGTCTCTTTTAAATGAATGCCCAGGTCCAAGGATCATTTTGTTCCACAGAAAAATGAACAGACTTTTGACACAGTTTCTGGACAATAGATACGTTAAATTGTTACCCTGCCTCAGTTGCCTGTGTATGGAGCCACCTGTCTCCCTGTGTACAATGCCATGTGTCAGTATGTCATGTTTGGGACTGATATGCACTTCATTTCATTCCATATTCTTGGAAATCTCATACTATAAGGGACTTCATTTTATATACTGGGATATTCTATATTAGCCCTTTTCCCTCTTAGGAATTTGTTTGATTTTGTTAAAACATAAAAGGAAAAAGTCGATTAATTTGCTGATTAAGCTGCTATCAAAGAGTTCAATGGGGTGTCATAAATTTATGCATAATAGACAGTTGCTTAGATTACCTCTGTTAGTTATTTTTCTTTTTTCGTTTCCTTTCATGCAGATAGCTATATTTGTTTCTTCAACTGATGCTGTGCAATCTGGTTGGCTTCTAAGATATTTAAAAGGCATTAGCTCTACTCAGATCAGAGAAATGAGGAGGAACCTTGCAGAGGTTTGTGATTGCAAAGTTTACATGCTTTCTTCACATGTTGTAGAATTGCTTTACCTGTATCTTGTGCAACGAATAGATGGAAAGACAAATGAAAATTTTATCATTTGGTCTAGCGCTCTCATTTTGAAGCCAAAACGTGTCATTTTTTGAATATTGATCTCTTTATGCCTTTGATAAGTATTCAGCTTGTACCTGGGGAGAAAATTTTAGCATTTGGTCTAGCATCCTCATTTTGCTTTGAAGCCTAAACTTGGCATCTTTTGAATATCATCTCTTTGTGCCTCTGCTAATTATTTTTGTACCTAAATGTTAAGTTCTATTGATAGTTGTATGGTAATCCATCATTTCCTGCTTATCTTTGATTTTTTACATTGGGATAATAATGTTAACCAATACTATCTTTTATAATTTTAATTTGACTGAAACTTTTCGCTATCATCTTTCCAGTACTCAAGGCATTTCGTGTACTCTAGTCCTGCTCAACCCTTGGGTCCAGAAGATCTAGTTTGGAGAATGGTTTGTAACCTTATGTTCACCAAAAATTTAGCTTGTAATTTTATCCTTTGCTATTTTATTTGAGATTTAATGCTGAGTTATTTTGCTCTGAGCTGAGGCTTGTTTCTGTTTAAAAAACTAATAAAAAATAAAACAAAAGTCTCTTAGATAGCAGTAATGATGCTGTCTCATTACCTGGGAGACCTTAGCACATTAGTATTAATTGCTTAAATAGCTTTACAGATCTGGTGGGTTGACTTCCAGCTTGTGAGGTTGCTTGTACGGAAATATTTCTACTAGCATTAGCATGAGTGTTAATGGTTGAGCATTTGACCTTTTCTATGTTCTTATAGTTGGTGTCTGTGTAGATGCTTGGTGTTGGTTGATTCAGCAAACTCCTACATCTTCAAATCAACCACATTACATATTCCAAAAATATGTGTATAAATTTCTTGTGTTCTTTTTTTAGTAAATTGCTGATCTTCCATGAAAGAATGTATATGGTATAGAGACATCCACAGATCATGAGAACGTGACATCGTGCGCGCGCGCATATTTTCAATTTTTTTGTTTCACGTCCATAATTCTATTGTTAGAGGAATTTTCTTTTATTTCACAAGATTCTCTCCTTTGTAAAAACTGGTGGGAATACATGAAAAAGTAATATGTTTAAATGATTAATAAGTTATGAAGTACTAATTTTGCATATATTTATTGGTTGTGACAGATGGCTGGTAAGTTGGTGAACATCAAGCTCCATACTCAGAGATCACAGCGTGTAGTTAAGGGATCAAGAAGTGTGTGCACTTGTGATTGCAGGCGTGGCAACATCACCATTTCCACTCCTCTCTCTTGATCGTTCTTGCTCAGTTGAGGTTACTGTGTATTAGAATCATTCTTTAAACATACATGTATGTGTAAGGCTTCCTCTTAAAATATAGTAGTTAACTTTAATGTTCATTCCAAATTTGTCATGTTACATATTTAATTTGGCCGGCATGCATATTGGTGTGCCTCTATTCAAAGCTTTCTGTGTTCAGATTATACTTGGGAAAGATCTCCCATTCTAAAAATCTCCATATCATGATCAAGAAAAGATCTCTTTTCATTTTTCCTAAAAGTTGTCTTTTATGCCACAATTAAAAAAAATTATTCAAAGGAATATTTACCAGATTTTTATTTTATTATTTTACTTTTGGATGTCTTTAATTATTATTAAAAAACCATTAAATTGATTTTTCATTTTTGTGTGGGTGAACAAGAACAACAAATCACTGAAATTAATGTTTTCTTCTCATGATTCTTGAGTGATCATTTTTTTTTTTTGTTCTTTAGCGGTGTATAGGATACAAGATTCACATTCTTCTGAGGTAGGTTTGATTAATCTTAATTTAAGCCCTATAAATAAACAACTTATCCTCCTGAGAAAAACCAGTACACTAATTAAGGACTCTCTTCCATTTTATTTCTCTCCAATCTCCAATGGCAGTTGGAAAATTCTTCCTTGTCTCCCTCATTGTAATTGCTTTTATGGTCTCCTTAGTTAGCTCTGGTAGTCTCTCATCTCCCTCTCTTTGTTTATGCAACAAACAGAGATTTTAACTGAATTTCCTTTTGTCACTATTGTGTCTGATCTTAGAGAATAGTTTAGGGTTGCAGATGGTGAAATGAAAATAGTCATTGATCCCTACTGCTTTGATGCATGTTCTGAATACTATGGAAACATTGAGTGTGATGAGGACTGCCAAGCCCAAGGATACAGCTATGGGACCTGTCTTCACAAACAAGGAACTGACAATATTGAACAATGTTGCTGCCAGCTCTCTCAGTTGTAAACTCTTTTAAACACTCAACAATCATATCATCTCCTTCTAAGCTTAAGTTCTCAAGGGTTCTATGTGTGCTTTGATCAGCCAATAATAATGTTCTGTTACCAATATTTTCAGAATAAAACTATTATTTGTTTTTTTTTCTTTTTTGTTTTCATAAAGATATAGGAAAGCATATACATAACTAACCTTACCTTATAGCTAGAGTGAACTACATATTTATTTCAAAAACAAACTATAAATTTAATTTCGAACCATGAAAGCAAATGCATGTCAAATTTAAAGTAATTAATCAAGAAGGTGGCCTTGAAACCGGGTTTTAATGTGAAAGGTTTCTGTTCTAAATCGCTAAAAACTAACACAGCATACTATCAACCAATTATTGAATATTAGATAAAAATCATAAATTAAATTTATTATTTATTGGTAAATTTGATTAAAAGAACTCAAAATTAAAGGTAAAATTATCAGCAATATTTTGTAGGAAAGCAAATAATCATTTATCCTTAATTTTTTATACAAAAAATAATATTAAAGTTAATTATAACTATTCACAATATATTTAATTCATCACCTTAAATAAAATAATAAATTCACTTTTTACGTCAAAATATTTGCATGGATACTTCAAACTTATCATATTAGCCAGAAATCTCATTAACAAGTTAAGACACAATGTATAATTAAAAATTATAATCTCATGCATGAATGAGTTACACTTCTAAATTAATGTTCTAAAAAAAAAATTTGCCCTTATTCTTTTTTCACTGCTAATCATGATTCTTGTATGACCATTTTTTTGTCCTTTTAAGTAGCATTTCTTTAGCCATGTATCCAGGGTTCACATTCTTGTGAGGTAGTTTTAATTAATTAATCCTAGTTTAAGCCCTATAAATAAAAAGCTTCTCCTCTCGGTCATTTTATTTCTCTCCAATCTCCAATGGCAATGGGAAAATCTTTACTTCTCTCTCTCATTGTAATTGCTTTTATGGTCTCTTCTGTTAGCGCTGGTAATCTCTCATCTTCCACCCTTTGATCTCTTTGTTTGTGCAACAAACAAAGATTTAACTTAGCCAGGTCAAAGGTAGCTTAAGTAGTACACACATAGAAGTATTCACATGGATCAAATATAAGTAGATAAGCACAAGAACTTTGCATGAATGTACTAGAAAAAAGATGAAATATCCCTTTGATTAACATAAAATCTTATTTTGAAGTTCACGAAAATGATTGCTTTTGTCATTGAATTTGATGTTGGAAAGGGTGGGAATTTTTGGGGTTAAAGAGTAGAAATATATTAATTATTATAATGAATTCTTTTCTATTTTGATAATTAATTATAATGAATTCTAATATGATATGTTTGGGTGCAGATGGTGAAATAATAGGTAAGTACATTCGTCTTCGTGCATGTTCTTCAAATCCGTACTTTGGAGACTCTGAGTGTGATGAGGCGTGCAAAGCCCAAGGACACAGCTATGGGTCATGCCGCAACGTGCGAGACTATATCATTCCACAATGCTGCTGCGATTAGTTATCAACTCTCTTAAACGCTCGATAATATGTCAAATCATAAAGGCTTCTATCTATGCTTTGATAAGCCAATAATAATGTACTGATTACATTTATTATCAGAATAAAAGTACTTTTATATGTCGCTATATCAAGCCAAGAAACCCTTCATGCATACAAAATTATTAAATAAATTTATCATAAAACGTGATAGTAAATCCTTATTTAATAATTCTTCTGGTTGGGTACAGTGTTTAGAGATCATGAATAAAAAAAACAATGAATTTTTTTTTTTTAAAAAAAGTAATAGGCAAATACATACATGATTAACCTTTATCTTATAAACAAAGTGAAGTACAATTATTTCAAAAACAAAATATAAATTTAATTCCGGATCATGAAAGCAAATGCAAATCAAAATCAAACCTATATTTAAGAATTGAAAATAATAAATTAAAAAGCTAGACGCCTCAATAACCTTAAATGTTAAAGTTAAATATTTAAATGAGGTCGCATTTTATTGAAATTGAGAAAAATATTTATTAAAATTTTATTATTTTAACTTTTGAGATGCGAAATTTTAATAAAAAAAATTTTAAAACAAGTGATTCAACTATTTTTTCCTATAAATTCTTATATTAAGATAAGATATATATGTTATTCACCATATTCATAAGCCACCAAACATATATTATTTAGGATAACTAATTGTAAATCCTTTAACTATTTTCAAGAACTTTCTTACAAGCATTATTGTCATGTTGATCACGGGTGAAAATTAATATTTTCGGAACTTAACAGATATCTTCATCTTCAATGCCTTTGGTTCCTATTCTTCGATGGAGCAGGAGCTGGTGGAGCAGGGGCTGACGTTGCAAGGGTTGGTCCAATTGGGCCAAAAGCAGTTGCTAAAAGATTATGAAATCTTTGCAAAAATAATTTTAAAATGAGTGATTGAACTCTTTTTTCTGTGAATTGTTATCTTGAAATAAGATATATATGTTACCTACCATATTATTAAGCCACCAAATATACATTGAAGGAATTTTTTTCATTTTATGATGTGTGTGGCAATGAGTATAGCATCACCCAAAAATGAATAGGGAATTTAGATTGATGCAATAAAGCCCTAACCACAACAAGAAGGTGTTGATGCTTGCGCCCAACAACACCATTTTGTTGTGCTGCAAGACAATTGATGAACAATACCTGTTGAATTAAAAATTTTTTTTATCATTATCTGATCGAAAACACTTGATAGTAATTGAAAATTGAGTTTTGACAAAGTTATGAAAAGCTGGTAAAATAACATAACCTTCAGAGTTATTTTTCATTAAGAAATCCAAGTGAATTGTGTCAAATCATCAACCAAAGTGAAAAAGTAAAGGTGGCCATTAATGGTTGGAATTCTATATGATCCCCAAAGGTCAAAATGCAAAATTTCAAAACCAAACCTGTACCTTGAACATGAATAGGAAAAGTTAGTTTTTTTTGTTTTGCCATAGGTCACACATCACAAGTCAAGTCATTTGAATAAAGAAATTCAGGGTATTGTTGATGTATTACATTTATTCTATTGAAAGGTATATGGCCAAGTTTGAAATGCCACAAATCAAAACAATTTTGAACTGTTTTACAACTGTTTACAAAAACTGTAGAAGGAAACTTAACAATTTTATCAATGCTAAACTTGGATAGGTATTGTTCATTCTTATTATCTTGTACCAAATACAATCTTGAAGAGACTTTAGCAACCCAGTCACTATCTAAGAGGTAAGGCCCTGAACAACACAGCATGCATCAGTAAAAATGACAATTTTTTTTAGAACTAGTAGGCTTCCTAACTAAAATAAGGTTGAAGTGAAAAGATGGAACACAGTACTTTATGTAATACTAACAAGGATGTTAGTTTGACTATATCTATGTGTGTAACAATGGCTTGGACATTGTTAGGTAATTGAACAAAACAGTTATGAACAGGATAGCTAGGCAGAACTGAAATTCTCTAAAGAATAAGAAACATGATCTGATGCTCTAGTATCTATTATCCAAGAATTTGGTTTAATGATTATGTCATGAGCATGCTTATGTTTAATGGACATTTTATGAGCAACATTAGAGCAAAAATGATTAGAAAGGATACTTGTAACTGTAGAATTGATTAAGGAAGGTTTAGTCTGCTGAGTGTTCAACAAAATGTTAGCATCATCTTCACTACCAGAATTACCATCATTGATGAGGGCCATTAATTTTTAAATTTGATGCTTGATGAGAGATAATTAAGACATGGAATTAGTGCCAACCAAATCTTCCTTTTGTCCTGGCTAAGTAGTCATTTCTATAAATGAAAAAGAACCATTTGTAGAGACATTATTTATTGCTGAAGTATTTTTCTTAAAATTTCCTTTGCATTTAGTGAATTTGAAGTTTTCAAGAAAACTAATAAGCTTAAGACACTTCTCCTTCACATGACCTTTTTTACCACAATGACTCTTTTCTTCTTATTATCAATAGTCACTGCCATAGTAGATGACTCAATCATTGGATTTGACAGAAGCATCAAACTCCTTTGAGTTTCTTCTCCTAAGACTAGATTATATACTTTATCCAAAGTAGGAAAAGGTTCCATCATAGTAAGACCTTAAAGTAGAAAAAGTCTCATTAAGACCATTAATGAACCTAAACACCATGTCTTTCTTATAT